TCAACTAATCCACGAAATTGAGCGACACATCCACCATTGTTATCAGTGAGTTACTATCTCACAATCGACTACGCTGAACTCCACTGGTCACTGCTTCTCACTAGAAATTCTTTGTTCTTAATAAATACATATCTTTAAAGACGTTTGGCTAATTATACATGAATTAACTAATTCGTGTTTATCATAGTATTAACTAAGTAGTATGTTGAAGATTACACAAATTCACTGAGTAACTACTTCATAATACTGTTCATATGTATTAGGAAACTGAATGCTTTAATTATGTGCTATGTACTTATATCATAGACTTTATACAAGTATTGCATGATTTGTCCCTAATGCATCATTAAACGAGCGAACTTCATAAGCGATTTACAAACTTATTTACTTTCTTTAATCATACACAAGTTGGTCCTGTTGTAACGTGCGAGAACACAGTTAGGGACAGCCAATCTAACTTTATACAGAATTACAGGATGCATTAGTAAAATATATGAAACATACATTGAATACTTCATTTGCAAATTTCCATCATCTGTCTTTCACATTCTGTAGGATTCTGTCTATTTGCAATTGCTTTCTATTTCTGTTTCTATTCTCTTCAACTTTATCTCCTTAGCCTTCTGTTGTCAGGGTTTCCACATCCGATAGGTGTTACGTGCTACTTATATCAATCGACATAAGTAACATACACCATACAGTGAATCAACGGGCAATGTTGTTATTATATTCAGTTTCCATGTCTACGAAAAACATTCTTAGAAAAAAAAGCTAAATAAATCAATATCTACCAAACATTTCATCAGTTACGCCAAATAAACTTAATGCAACCTAAAAAATAGATAGTCTAGGTGAAATTGATTAAATACTGACATAGTTTCATAATAGAATGGGACTACTTAATTAATCCATATCCATCAACTATCAAACGTAGCACTTTCAAAACTCTGTCAGGATGCCGGCTTAGCAGTCTAGAGGTTAAACGTTTACGCGCGAGACTGAAGATTCTGGGTTCGAATCTCACAAGGCGAGATCGTAGATGCACGCTGTTGACAAATCTCATACTAGGATCTAAATAGCTGTTCATTGCTTCTAAGTTTTTAATGGTGATCTAGCTTTAATTGTCTCATGAATTCAAATTATTCCAATCTTCACAAACCCCCCCCTTTCTATGTGGAAATTTAAATTTATTCCACGAATGTTATCTATTTAAACTAGATCATTGTGTTACATAATCATCATCCGTCATTTTGACAATTATGTCATAGTAACATTATCTGCCATGTTGTTTTTTTTTTTTTAATTTTCTTCAAATCAGTTTTATAAAATTAATTTTGTTTGAAATTTCACAATTCAATTGAAGAGAAAACAAAATATACTACTGACAATGAAAATCTGATGAAAAACAAACAAACAATTAAACACTATAATATAGATTAAGCAATCTAATTACATAATTGATTCTACCATTTGATGTCTTATACACTCTCTATTCATTTCTATTATGTTGTCATGAGAAAAGACATATATTTATTATGAGACATTTATTGTCATTTTAGTGATGATTTCACATTCTAATTTCTAGTGATTAAGAATAATTTAATAATTGAATTCATGAGTTAATTGAAGCTAAACTACTATGAAAAACCTGGAAGTACTAGACGGCCGTTTATGTCCTAGCATGGGACTCTTCAACAGTGCACATCCATGATGCCCGCCCCATGGATTGGTTAGAGTTAGACATTAACACCATTGGATACCGGTCTGCTCAGTGGTTTAAAGGTTAAGCGTTCACGAGCGAGATTTATAGGTTCTGGATTCGAATCTCGCGAAGCGGGATCGTAGATTCGCAATGCTGAGAAGTCCCAGAATAGGATGAAACAACCGTCAAGTGCTTTCATGTTTTCTATGATTGTCTAGCTTCAGTTGACTCATAATCTCAACCATTGTAATTACATTTATAAACATTATTATTAACTACTTATAAGTAGTAAAGTAATGAAATAGAAAATGTATGAAGCATAGTTTTTAGTCTGTCGTATTTTGATAAATGATATCGCTTGTGAATTATTTCAATTATCCATTGCTTTAATTATATATCAATGAAACGTTTGGTGCCCAGTTAAACTAATTGAATACCAAGACTACTGTAATCAGTTATGATGAAACAGTTTACTTCACATGAACTAGTTCAATGAACTGAAATAGTTCTTTTCAGGATATGAATACTTGATGATTATTACATTCAAATTGCACACTCAAAATGCATATTTTATGTATTACATCCACGTACTACTTGATTCTGAAGACCAATAATATCCATACTTGATTCTTACTGAAACCAATAAATGTTATATTCATACATGAATGTAATTATGCTTGAATCCATGTATTGAATTCCTATAAGAACTTAGGAATGTTCATTTTATTTCAAATATTATTGCATAATATTATAAGGGTTTTATTTTAGCGATTGAATAATGAATGGAATCAAAAACTTTGAATACATCTTAGGAATTAGAAGAGTGACTTAAATAATGTTTCAGAGTGTAATAAATCTTGTACAATAAAGATGGTTAGGAATAACCGGTAATCGACATTAAAAAATGTAACTAAATATCAAACAAATGTATAGGTGTTTACCATGGTCATTTCACCTAACATCAGTTGCAGTCTTAAACCTCAATGGGAAGATACAAACCAAATAATACCAAGTAAATTTAAATTCACCCCATTGCACAAGAAAGTGGCTATCAGGATTCAGTAGATCAATAGATAACTCTATGGCGTTTAAAGCGAATGTTACTGGGTTCGAGTCCCAGAGTGAACATCAACTCTGAGATGCAGGTACATCCATCTGACCAGTCCCAAATAGGGTGAAACGCGCGTTATGGATTCCACTGATAGCCACTATCCATCATTTCACTTAACATTATACATGACAAAAGTTCTCGAAAAAATATCGTAAATAAGATGAACTACTGACTATTATGTATTAGTATAGTTCTAAATATACTTAAAAAGAGGAAAGAAAATAACGTAACAGGTATATGAATACAATACATGATGGAAATTGAATGTAGTTAGTAATATTCCACCTCTCATGGAGAGTATTAACTCCCCTCAAGAAACTAGAATTCCTTCTGACTACTTTCAACCACCTGTACACAATATTGAGTCATTTAGACCAGTAACCACATTGTAAACTGAACGGTAGAATTTGATCAACAGTGAAGTGTTAAATTAAAATGATGTTTATCACAACATAGTGATCAGTAAGTTGGTAAACCTGTTAAGAATCTGTACCGTTGATTATTTAAATAATGATAGAAGTGTAAAATATTTACACAAAGATCTAGTAATACACAGACAATGTCAACAGTCTAACTTATTTAAATGATGAAAAACAACTACCCATTGGGTTTTTTTATTAACTAAGTTCAAATAAAAAATGGTGATGGGATTTGGAATTTTTGCGTTATCTTATCAATAAAACAGATCTTGAGTAGAATTTAATTCAGTAGTTTGTGGGAAAGTGTTGTCCTTTAGTTAATCGCTAAATATCTGTAGCCACTGCATATGATGACGTCTTAATTTTGAAATGCCCTGGTACGATTGAGGTTGGGGAGAGTCTACTCTCCCTCTCGAAATGCTCTCACATGGCCACGCGTATACAGTCACTACCAAGGAATGCCTACTCACTGCTTTCTTGTTGTGGGGGTGTTGTTTACGAAAGTGAGAGGACGGAAAGCTAATATCCGGTGCTTTAACCGTGTTAGTGGATACTGAGGGTCCACCTAGGGGAGTTGGAAAACCCTGACTCAAAATCAATGATGCACATGAGCCCCAGGATCCTGTAGTAGCCAATGGCGTATGAACCTGGTGTTGGTGACCTGCTGCCATGGGACTGCATCTCCTAAAGTTGTCCCATTGCCTTGTGGATCAGAGCTTTAGGTTGAAGGTTCTTGGTATGACACCCCCCTGGGCAGTATCATAGCCCACACACAAATCAAGTGGTTTGTGTGGCGTATATGTATTCAGTGCCTCTTTGTACCAATATTTATGTGTTCATGTGAAATAAAATAAATATAATTTGGAAAACCCATTGAATTATTTATGTTCTTTCTATTATAAATAACATATGGTATGTGTGATTTATTCTGTCACGATATTTCTCAATAAAATTCAGTAAACAAATCGATTTCCTACAGAAATGAAGATATATATATATATAAGTTTTATATTTCCATAGTTCTCGTCATGGACGTGTTATTGTTGGATAACGACTCAAAGACAAGAAGTACTGGTTAGCTGTTTTCTCTTAATTTGGAACACTTTAGAAATGCACAAGCATCTATAGTAGATAGAATCCAAGACATTTAGCTCTCGATGAGAACTTTTGATAAACAGACCACGGAGCCAGAGAATTTTCAATTATCTGAAGTGTTAACTGACCCAAACCTGATACATTTGAACTTCATTGGTCATAGTATCTTAATGAAACTCCTGAAATTCCATCTCGAAGACGGTTACTAGTGATAACATGATTATAATTAGTAAAACAAAAAACATATACACCATTCAATCTGCGATCAATGGCTTAAAGAATAATCATTATCCCGAAAACGTTAAGATTCTGAGCTCGAATCCCAGTGAAGTGATTGATCCATATCTCGAAGTGAGAAGAAACAAGTTTTTTAATGCTTTCCGATTATTAATGATTGTCTAACTATGATCACCTCCGTGGCTCAACCGCTCAGCGCATTTGGCTGTTAACCGAAAGGTTGGTGGTTCGAGTCCACCCGGAGACGTTTCTCATTACCTGCTTCGGTTTGAGCACCCGGGCAGTATCATAGCCCTCACACATATCGAATGAGATTTGTGTGGCGCATATGTACTTGGTGCCTTCTTATACCAATATCTATGTGTTAAAATAACTAAGATCCGTCCATGATTCAAACAATGAGATTCAAATTCTTTTCTTTCTTTTCTATATTTAGAGTTATACATTCAATGGATTTATAACATTTTGTATTATGATCATAACATTGAATAAACAATTTTATGAATTAAATGCTGCATATCTACCATTTAATTATCGATGGCCAATTGTACCATATATGAATGATGATGACGATGGATTACCACATCGTATACTTCCATCTATTTCTTCATTATCACATTTACATAAAAGAGGTCCAGAATTAATTATTCCATTTATTAGTGGCGGTGTTCCAGCAAAGAAATCAGATATTGATTAAATGAAATGTAATTGATTCCATTCTTAAATATGACTGGATATATTAAGCATTGTGATAAGTATTTTTTGGTTTAAAATATACATATTATTGATTCTTTAATTAATTACTTTTGTTTTGTTTTGTTTGGAACGAATGAACTTAAAACATAATTGGGATTGTAGGTGTATCCAGTTGACAAGTTGTAATTAGGACGAGATGTGTGTTATAGATTGCACCGTTGCTCACATCCCATTACTTACTTACTTGCCAGCATTCTCTAACCCACTCTATCCTGGGCCTTCCCTTTCTAGTTCTATCCAATTCTTGTTCATTCTTCTCATGTCTGTCTCCAATTCTCGGAGTAATGTATTCTTTGGTCTTCCTCTCCTCCTTTAGCCTTGAGGATTCCAAGTGAGGGCGTGCCTTATAATACAATTGGGTGCTTTCTTCAATGTATGTCCAATCCACTTCCAGCATTTCTTAATTTCTTCCTCCACTGGGATCTGGTTTGTTCTCTCACACAGTAGGTTGTTACTGATAGTGTCTAGCCAACGGATCCGAAGCATTTTGCGTAGACAACTGTTAATAAACACCTGTATCTTCTGTATGATTTCTTTAGTAGTTGTTCATGTTTCCGCCCGATACAGTAGAATTGTGTTGACATTTGAATTGAAAATTCTGGCCTTGATGTTGGTTGACAAATGCTTTGAGTTGAAGATGTTCTTCAATTGTAAATATGTTGCTCTTGCTTTGCCGATCCGCGCATTCATATATATATATATACATGTATATATATATATATATATATATATATATATATATATATATATATATATATATATATATATATATATATATATATAACGGGAGGGATGGAGATGGGGAGCGAACTGTTCCCTTCCAAAGAAACGAACAAATGATGGAAACAACCGTATCAAGTAATGTTTCATTTAGTATTGCGCTTGGTTTTGCCTTGAGGTTAATCGAATATAAGACTGAGAAAGTATAAATATTATACAGTTATTCGTCTGGGTCATTTGAGGGTAATTAGTATTGTGTTCTGATAACTTGGCCGGAGTATAACAGTAACTCCCCTGAAGCTAGTGCTTGTTGTGCAACCTGCGTCCAATGTGTTTCACTGATTTTCAAGCACCTCCTGATTGTAGCTTTTCATTTCTGCAGAAATTTGGATGGCTCTACCGGTCTCCCACATTGTACGAACATTCCATGTACCTAAATTAATGGTTGCTCTGATTGTCAGAAGGAACATCAGCCTCGTGACTTCGGGAAGAGCTCAGCTTTCACTATGAACGTCATAACTCTTCTGAATGAAGACTTTCTAATACCCAGGACAGTTTAAATAGTTTGAATTATTTTTTGTGGTCAGAGTTTTTTTAGCGAGTTAGTTTTCTAGCCGCATACATAACCCTCCTCCTTTATCAGGGCTTGGGACCGGCAGTAGCCCCAGAGGGGCTACCATTCGATGAATAATATTTTAAATGAACTTCATAAACAGTGGTGAATTAAAATGGAATAATAGTAAATCACGAGAATTATATCACTATATATGTTGATTTTTTTATACTCAAGTCTAATATACTACTGAAATGAACCAACAAATTTCATATCCACTTGTTATCATCTAATCTACTTAATAACTATTCAAAGATGATTGATCTATGCATGATGGGGTAGTAAATTTTCTATTGAAATAGTTCTATGCACTAAGGTTCTTGATACCTGCAATATCAATATAAAACTGAAATCTCATGTTACGGTTTTAAAAAGCCTTAACGGCGTCTAAGTCTCCAGGAAACCATTATATAATCACCCTTCTGCCGGGTATATTTATGGTCGTAAAATATTTCCGTTTATTTTCTTAAAAATAAATAAAGTGTTCCATCTTTGTGTGCAATATATAATATCAATCGGTTTCAAATGTTAACAGTCTGCTATGTTTGAAGTGATTACGAGTTCGCCTGACTTGAGAACGGAATGAAGATTCTGTAACACAATGATAGAAAGCTAGCTATTCTGACGCATCCCAGGCCCGCTAAGTAGATAGAGAAGTCCGAATTCGAAATGGGGAAATATATACTACAAGCAGCCAGGAGTAAGAGCAATCACAACAGGCACAAATCAAACGTATATATGTATATATATAACATAAAATTGACCTTGGGAAGTGTTACAAAATAGTATGGTAAAAGATATAATGAACCAATAGCATTTAAGATCCTCCCAAGTGGGAAATACGATATAGAGGTAAAAATGAACGCTTTTGGTGCAAAAACAATAGATTCAAATTTTTAAAATAAATGTACAAAAATAAGGTGGTGGTTACCAAGTTAGTTCTGGGGATCTAACATCCCCAACTTCTCGAACTTGAGTATGCGGATGATATTGTCTTACTGTGCGATAATGTCCAAGCCATGCAATCCGCACTTAATCAGTTGGCAATCAGTGTCCGTAGGTATGGTATGTGCTTTGCACCTTCGAAGTGTAAAGTACTTCTGCAAGACTGGCAGGATCCTAATCCTCTACTGACCCTGGATGGTGAGCAGATAGAAGTGGTCGAGAAGTTCGGGTATCTAGGTAGCTGCATAAGTGCTGGTGGGGACGTGAGTGACGAGATCAATGCACGTATAGTGAAAGCCAAAGCGGCTTATGTCAATCTGGGCCATCTTTGGCGCCTTCGTGATGTTATTCTGCCTGTAAACGTTCGGATCTAAAACGCGTCGATGAGAGGATTTTTGCTCTATGCTTGTGAAACCTGGTCTCTCCGAGTTGAGGACGTTAGACGACTCTCTATGTTCGATCATCGTTGTCTCCGAAGGATTGCGGACATCCAGTGGCAACACCATTTTAATAATGCAGAGGTTCGGCATCGTGTGTTCAGGCACAGAGACGATAATCTAATTGGTGTCACCAACTTGAAACACCGACTTCGATGGCCTGGACATGTTCTAAGAATGTCGTCCCAGAGAGTTCCACGTCGTGCATTATTTTCGGACTCCGGGACTGGTTGGAAAAAGCGGAGAGGTGGTTAGTGTATGACATGGTGTCGTGGAATGAAAGAAAGCTGCAAAGGGCTGGCTTCTGTTGGCCCTTCACGACCCCCTGGTTGGGGTCCTAGAGATGGTGCGACACAATGGCTAGAGATGTTATCAGATATGTCTCAGAATAGAAGCCAGTGGCGATCTTGCTGTAACTTTCTTTTACTTTCTTTATAAAAAGTGGTTGCTTCTTCCTTAACTGAAAGATTTCTTCTGATTGTACCTTTCCGTTTCCTCCATTGTTACTATTATTATTATTACATTACCTTACACTAATCTGTTCGTTATTTTTCTTTTACGCTCCTTACCTTTTTTTCCTTTTTCTCTTCAAATTCTCATTGTTTTGTGTGGCGCATATGTATTTGGTGCCCTCTTGTACCAATATTTATGTGTTCAAACAATTAAATAAATAAATAAATAAATAAATAATAGAACGTCACTAGTGAGCATATGTTGGATGTGTCGCTCAATTTCGTGGATTAGTTAAAGTTAGACATTAACACCAATGGATGCAGGCTATGTAGTTTAAAGGTTAGGCGCTCGCGTGCGAGACTGATAGGTCCAGGTTTTGAATCTTGAGAGGCGGGATCGTAGATTCGCATTGCTGAGGAGTTCCACAATGAGACAAAACAGCTGTCCAGTACTTTCAGGTTTTCCATGGTAGTCTAGCTTCAGTTGACTTATGATCTCAACTATTAAAATGTATTCTATTTTGTTTGACAATCCTAAATCCATATGCTTTAAACGATATACTTTACCCTTAACCTGTCCATTTTTGAGGATGATTAATTTGAATATATATAATTGTAGAACCTGGAGAGAATTTATCGGAAAGAATATTCTTCGATCATATATATATATAAGTCTTTTAAATAATTCATTTACAAAATATCAGTCAGTCGTCTCAAACTCGATTGTTCCTTCGTTTTTACATCAATCATTCACTGTTCTTGTTCATTCTTCTTGGATTTTTTTTTCTTTTAACTTTCTGCCGCTAGGCATTTCACTTTCAATTCATGATACATACTACTTATATCTGTCAACATCAGTAGCATACACCGCAATATAATCATAATTAGATTAATTTTATAATCATAACATTTACAAACAATACATACACATATGTATTCAAGTTGGAAGAAAGAAAATATTTTTTACGGCATCAATGAAATTGTATGTTTTGAAGAAATGATCTGATCTGATCCGATCTGATCTGATGTGTGTGTGTGTGTATGATCTGAGTAACTATTTTTTGACGTTGTTGTTGTTGTTGTTGTTCAAACGATGAATAATAATGATAATATCACACCATATTATACTTTTTAGGAAAGAATTTATTACTTTGGATAATTAATGATATTGTATAGTGTGAAATAGGTATGGTATTAAATGATGATTTCAATATTTATTGACGTTGCTGATGTCGATTGTAGATGAGGATACTATCATTAGTAACTTTACCTAAATATATTACATGATGCAATAATTCAGTGAACAGATCATTTATCATGGTGTCCTTTATAAATAATGTATTAAGATAAATATTTAAACTAGTAAGTATCCTAAAAGACGGTATTAAGTAATACTGTGATATGTGTTACTGATATTGACAGATATGTAAGTAGTATGGTTCATCAATTGATAGTGACATGCCTTTGGTGGCCCGTGGATCTGACTCTAATTGGATCGTGTGAATGTTTTTGATCGCCTATCCTCGTATATAATCATCGACTTTAATCACGTTAGTCAATAACGGATTTTGATAAGTCAAATAACGAGAATGGACTTTTGCATACATATATTATTTTGTATATAAAGCGAATGGAACAGAGAGAAGAAAAACAACGCGCAGTGGAGATGGCGGGTAAGCCAACTCCCACTTAGTCAAGCGTTAATCAATATTTATAGTTACACAAAAGTAAATTACAGACATGTGATGAATAATGGGATAAGAAGTGTACACACACCTACGAGCTCATATAAAAACAGTCAAGATTGATAAGCGAATAAATAACAAGGTCAGAAATGTGACTCAAGTAGAATGAATAGAATGGTCTGTCCGAAATCT